AAAAAATTTAGTCGGCTAATATTTGGTCATTTTGACGATTGTAAATACTTATTCAGATCGAGTGTTTACATCCAATTAAATAATTAATTAAATGAAAATGTATATCATTTAACCATGATTAACCGTTGAATTAGGGATTGTGCTCTTCTACGAATATCTAGGATCATTTCATTAAGGATCTTAGTGATAAATTACCAAGTATATTTTTTTAAAATTGCAAATGCTTGCAATAGAAATAGAAAGCTTAAAATGAATTGAATTAATGAAAGAAACTGAGTGTATTGAACATAAGAAAAAAATATCTATAGCTATGGACCAGCCATTAAGAGACTTAAACTACTTTCTTATTATCATTTATATTGCTCTCTTAGCTAATTGTCCAACTTCACGTTGATGAGTTGAAATTTGCTGGTCGTGCGATTAGCCTTGAGGTATTTAACTAACAACAATAATTTGACAAAATTATTGTAGTTGTAAATTACAAAGGAGATGAGCAAAATCTTAGATTGAAAAAGTAGTGATTATCATTAGTAGAAGTCCAGCATCAGGAATAGATTAGTATAGTGCATTAGAAAAATAAGGAAAGAGAAGAAGAGAAAAAAAGGTAAAGGGGGTAACTAAATCCCTTAATTGAAGGCACTAATTGATGAAGCTCAAAGATCAGATCAACTAGAGCTAAGAAGAAGATGAACAAGAAGGTTCTAGAATGAAGAACTCGTTGGAGAGCATGTGAACTAAAAATGATTTTATATTCCACTATGAAAACTGAATACAAAACACACAAGTCCTACTTATATACATTGTATATGATAGCTATGCTAATCATTCACCACTAGTTACTCTAACCACCAATCATATAATTAGTTATAACTAACCTTCAGCTAACTACACTAACTCAGGTGATTGTCATATGTCACTCTTCTCCTCAATACTCTCCCTCAAGCTAAGTGGTGCAAATAAGTTAAGCACTCCTAGCTTGCTCATCAGGTACTCATGTTGTGATCTTTCAAGTGCCTTTGTGAACAAATCTGCTTCTTGGTCTTTAGACATCACATACTTGATTTTGATTATCCCTTGTTGAATCCTCTCTCTGATGAAGTGTAAGTCTATCTCTATGTGCTTTGTACGCTCGTGAAATATGGGAAATTCCTGTTGTTGGCTGCAGCTAAAGCTATAACTACCCTGACTGTCACCATCTTGACTACAGGGGAAAAAGTTTCCTGATAGTCTAGGCCTTCTATTTGATTGTAACCCTTAGTTACTAGCCGTGCCTTGTACCTTTCAACCTCTCTATTGGCCTTATACTTTATCTTGAACATCCACTTGAACCTAATAAGAGTTTTCCCTGCTGGCAAATCTACCATAGTCCAGGTCATGTTGTCCTTGAGTGCATTCAACTCCTAATACATAGCATCAAGCCATTTGGGGTCTGATGCAGCCTCCTCATAAGTCAAAGGCTCTCTAATGCCGGTAATTTTGGACAAATAAGACTGATGTTTGACTGAGAAACCTGCATGGGTCAAATAGTTATGCATTGGGTATTTGCAAAGCTACTGCCCTTCAGACCTTGTCAAGGAACCATTGCAGACATAATATTGTAGCCATACAGGCTCCTTAGTAGTCCTGGCTGACTTCCTTAATTAGGGACCCACAGGAACAGGTGTATCTTGTTCTGAAAGAGGTGACTGCTGATCTGGAGTGTCTTCTGAGAATAAGGGAAGTGATGATGAAGGTTATGTATCAGCAGTGTGGTTGTTTGCAATAGGTGGCATTGCTCAAAGGGATGCATTATCATCATATGTGTTGATCTACACAGGAGTAGCATCAGCAGTGACTGGATAGTGCAGTACACCATTAGGGAAGAGGTGCAATTTTCCTTCCTTAAGTAGTTGAAATGGAAAGATATGCTCTATAAACTTGACATCCCTGCTTACAAAGAAAGAGTTAGTTAAAATATTATACAGTGTGTATCCCTTCTGGGATAATGAATATCTCATAAACATAGCTCCAACTGATCTGGCTGCAAACTTATCCTTTTCTCCCACAACCTTAGCAAAGTATAGACACCCTATAGTTCTAAGGTGCTTTAAAGATGGTACTCTTCCATACAACATCTCAAAAGATGATTTTCCTGACAACACTGATAGAGACAACCTGTTTATGACATAAATGGTTGTCTGCATACATTCCCCCCAAAATTTGAGAGGCAAATGACCTTGCAATCTAATGGCCCTGGCCACTTCCAATATGTGTCTTTGTTTCCTCTCTACTACCCCATTTTGTTGTGGGGTGTGAACACATGAACTCTGGTGAATCATTCCATACGATTGAAACAAACAGTGGCATTCATAATTGAAAAACTCAGATCCATTGTCACTTCTTATTACTTTCACAGTCACAACAAATTGAGTCTTTATTAAGGCTAAAAATTGTCTCAAACATACAACCACATCACTCTTGAGCCTTAGTAAGTAAATCCATGTCAGTCTGCTGCAATCATCTACTATAGTAAGGAAAAATCTATGTCCACTATGAGTTTGTACTCTATACGGACCCCAGACATCTATATGAATGAATTGAAATGGTTTATCTAATCTACTTATACTCTTAGGGAATGACAATCTGCCTTGTCTAGCTAAAGTACAGATTGTGCATTCCTTTATTTCATCACTACTAGTTTTGAACTTCATGTTTGGAATTTGTCTCACTACTCTATTTGGAGCATGTCCAAGTCTTCCATGCCACACCTTTAAGTCCTCCTCCTGCATAGTCGATTTCTGAAGATGTACATTTGCATCCTTGGCTTCAAGTTTCTGATGCTGCAAGTTGTACAAACCTTCTAGTTCCTTACCAATCCCCTTCACCTTCCCACTGTGACGGTCCTGCATTATCCAGAAGTTAGGATAAAAGGATATAAAACATCTTAAATCCATTGTGAGATTGGACACAGACAAGAGATTATATTTAAAATTTGGAACATATAAAACATTCTCAACAGTACTGTTTTTACCAATTCTACTCTCTCCAGTACAATCAACATCAAGTGAAGTTCCATCACGTAAATATACCTTTGGTGCATTGCCTAGGATATATGTGTTTATCTTGTCAAGTAGCTCTCTGGTGTGAACCATGTGGTTGGTTGCACCAGAGTCTACTATCCAATTCTCATCTTTAACCTTTTCATTTGTAACAAAGATCTTAGATGTACCTGCAAAGCTTGCATTTTCACCTGGCCCTGTACTGATCAACTTCAATATTTGGTCATATTGCTCTTAAGTAAACATGATTGGCCTTCCTCCTTGTGCTACATTTGTAGCAGATGTGTTGATCACTTGTTGTGCCTCCTGTGTAGTTGCATTGGTCATCTGATTTGTCATTGATTGTTGTTCCTCATGCATGGTTGCATTGGCCATATGTCATTGAAGAAAACCTGTTGTCTTCTTCCTCATTTTGAAATCAGCTGGATAACCATGCAGCTTGAAGCAAGTGTCTCTTGTGTGTCCTTTATAGTTGTAGTAATCACAGAATAAATTTCCTCTTCTAGGCTTATAATTGTTCCCTGAATTCATGCCTTTGTTGGTGAATAGTGTTGTTCCATCTCCAATGTCTATAGACTGGGAGAACTTTCCCAAAGCTCTTTGGCTTTCTTCAGAAACTATCATGGAGTATGCTTTGTTAACTGCAGGAACATGGCTCATCATCAATATCTGACTCCTAGGTTGGCTATATGTTTCATTTAGCTCCATAAGGAACTGCAGCAGCCTTTGATACTCAAAATGTTCAAAATAACTCTTAGATTCTGGGCAGTCACACCTAGGGCAGGGCATCAAGGCATCATATTCCTCCCAGAGGTCTGTCAATTTGGAGAAATATGTAGAAACTGATGAAATTCCATGCGATAAAGTTGCAATTTCCTTGTGCAGGAAGAATATGCGAGATCCATGTACCTTATCATACTTATCCTTCAAATCAGTCCAGACTTTGTGTGCACTGGATTTGTAGACAATTCCACTAAGTAATTCTGTGCTCACAACATTTATAATCCATGACAGAACTATTGCATTACACTTCTCTCAAAGCTCATGCAAGGATCGATCAAACTTATCCTTAGTACATCGTTCATCAACAAATCCTAGCTTAATCTTACCAATTAGACCTATTTTCATAGATCTACTCCACAATACATAGTTTTCAGATCCAGTTAGTTGAATAGAGATCAAGGAACTACCTGGAGTATCATATAGCTGTAAATATAATGGATGATGATAATCTATGTTCGTTGCTGTGCTTGTTCCAGTTGAGGTTTCTTCTCCATTCGCCATTGCCAACAGATTCAGCTGATTTTACTCTCAGATTCAAGGAATTATAGATTCGCAAATCGCAAATCAAAAAACAGAAACTAGGTTAACTGATTGAGGAAAACTCGAACAATCAGCAACAAAATGATTCTGCAGAAAGCAGAAGATATCCACCACAACGATTGTATATTTAGCCCCTGGGCTCTGATACCATGATGAAGCTCAAAGATCAGATCAACTGGAGCTAAGAAGAAGATGAACAAGAAGGTTCTAGAATGAAGAACTCGATGGAGAGCATGTGAGCTGAAAATGATTGTATATTCCACTATGAAAACTTAATATAAAATACACAAGTCCTACTTATATACATTGTATATGACAGCTGTACTAATCATTCACCACTAACTACTCTAACCACCAATCATATAATTAGTTATAATTAACCTTCAGCTAACTACACTAACTCACATGACTGCCATATGTCACTCTTCTCCTCAATACTAATAATGGATTGAGAGCCTTTTAAGATGTAATGTATATATTTTGTAAACAAAATTTGTATAGGTAGGGTAATTTACTAAACATGAACATGTAGGGTAATAACGTTTCCAATAGTGTATAAGAATGAAAAATTGAATTACTGTGCATAACGTCAAACACTGTGGACCATTTTTGTCATTTTATCGAGTAAATTACAGAAAAACGGGCGGCCCGATTTTGAACCGGTATCGAATCGCCTCTGAATAACTTCAGCAGTAAAGCAAGAGAATCGTGTAATTCTCATTTAATCAAAGGAGCTATGGCTTCCGATTCTCGTAAAGGTCTGATCACATGCTTCAATTTGGTCAAACATCCTATTTTTTCCCAATTATTTTGCTCTTAAATAGATTAGTGCCAGTTGTTACTTATTTTTTGTGTTGATTTTGATGTTTATGTAGTGATTGTTCATTTAAGAGCGACCGGTGATGCCCCAATTCTTAAACAAGCCAAATTTAAGGTTTAGTTTTTCCATCTATTAAAGTATTGCCTTTCTTCTTTTGTCAGATAAATTGCTCGTATTAAAATTCTAGACTGAGTTATGATCCAAAACCCTAGATATATTTCCGCTTTACCGTTGTGCTCTTTGTCCCAATTACAGTTTCCTTTGACTATGCGTTTTTAAGATTCTTATATATATTTTTCACCACTCTATCCGTCCCATCTGATGTGATGTTGTTTGACCGTGCACGGAATTTAAGAAAGAAAGAAAGACTGACTTTTGAAAGTTGTGAATTGAAACAAATCTTAGACAATTGTGTGGCTATTAATCATCTTATTAAGAGTAAAATGGAAAGTTTAAAGTCAAAATTGTTATGGAAAGATGTCATTCTTTATGGAATAAACTAAAAATGTATTACATGAGTTGGGGCAGAGGGAGTAAAAAATGTTGTAGACATGTAGTACTTTAGACTTAAAAAGTTAAGGAATTGATGTCTGAATTTATGCTTGAATTTTGATGTGTTAGACACTTGTACTTCAAGTCTTGGCAGTCTTTTTAAGGATGGATAGAGTATAAAGTTTGAGTAGTTGCCTCTTTTGTTCCTATGGAATCTTCACAGACCCACATCCAGCCCCTTGTTTGATAAAACTAAGAAAGAGAGAAGATAAATTAATCTATGATTGTGCACCTTTTATAGGGATGTTTGATGGTATTGTTTCCTTGTGTAACTGATTTCATATATTAATGTTGATCATGCATTGTTTCTTTATGAGTATTCAATTTGCATCAGTTACTCTATGGGTTTTTAGAGCAATTTCTGCTAATGGTTAAAATGAAATGAAAATTAGAGCTGTTTGGGAACGAAAATGCACATTCGAACTTTGTCCATTCTTAAAGCGCAGATGATAGATGAAAAGAAACCTAGAATGCGACTAAAAATTTGTATCAATCAACTAATTAACTATGCCTAAATTCCGAATTAGTTGGATCAACTTTATAAATCCTTAGTATCAATTCTCCTTTAGTCAGGAAATAATGCCTTGGTGGGTGTGCCCGAATGAATTCCGTATCTATAGGATTCTTCATTTTGACTTTTATGCTAACCATTAACCTACTGCAACTCTTCTCATTTTTCGGATCTTGGGAGTGACTATGCTTTGTGGAGCTCACCTAGTTGGACTGATCTCCATGCCCTCACCCCTGCCCTCTCCCCACCCCAAAAAAAAAAAAAAGAAAGAAAAAAGAGGAGGTGTCAGAGAGGGTCACACAATTTTTGCCTCCACCCTTCAAGCTTTCATACACTATAGTGATTATTCCTTAGGCTTTCTATCCTTTCTCTTAAGCTAAGTGTTGTAATTGTGGAGATTGCTTATTAGGGATTGGTGTACTCTCTGCAGCAGTTAGACGTGGTTGGAACCGGCTGGCGAGGGAGCTAGTGTAAAACATCTTGAATTACAAGTTAGGTTATAAAACAACCCTTAGGTATATTCCAGCATCAGCATAAATGGAGCGGTTGGTCTTCTCTCAGTAGTACCGCTGGTGCTAGCCTGATGGAGCTGCTTATAAGTGGGGCTATTGCTTTTCTGCATAAATGGAGCCTTCATAAAGAAGCTGTTGGTTTCTCTTAGTAAAAGTAGCACCAGTAGTAGCTTGTGAAGGGTGTGACCACAAGGTGTCTCTGGCTAGTTTCAATAGATCAAACACAGAATGCTACTTAATAAAAGCAGATGTTTCCCATTGCAACCAGCACAAGGAACAAAGAGGGACCACTTAACCAGGAGAAGCACCTGATAATTCCTGCAGGACTATGTTGCTGGAGAAGTCTTTTTCTTCAGGAAGCCTGAGGAATAATAGGGTAGTTGAGATTATTCAATGTGGTGTCAGTTGAAATTTGATTTGATAGCACGAATTCCGCACTCTCTTTATTGTCATATTTGCCTAATGGAATAGTATACAACTCCATCTGTCCCAATTTGTTTGACACCATTTGACTAGACACGGAATTTAATAGTTTCTCAATTTTACTTTTTTTTGTGCTGGAGCCAGCCTTCAGATCTCTCCTACTTTAGTTTTAGAAGAATTCCCTTATAGGATTAATGTTATTGTAGCCAATTGAAGATGGAAAAAGCTGTACTTCCTAGATTTTAAATGGTTTCTTTGTTGTATAATTATCAGTCATATTTTCTTTATCATGCTTCATCTAATCATCAAATTATATATAAACATCAACATAGATTGCAGGGACTGACAAATTCATCAAAGTAATAGATTTTCTGCGCCGCCAACTTCATAGGGAGACATTGGTACGCCGTTTGTTTTGATTGAAATTCTAAAGTACAGAGGAAAGAATTGCTCTCAAAGTTTTGAAATTCTAAAGTAGAGATACTGTGCATTAGAGTTGTGATTACTGATATAATCTTTCCTCTCTAGTTTGTGTATGTTAACAGTGCCTTCTCACCAAATCCAGATGAGTTGGTAATTGACCTGTACAATGTAAGTTTCCTGTACATATAAGTTTTCATATAATTATTTCGAGATAAATGTTCTTTGCTGATTACACATTTTACCTTCATTTGATAACCACTATACTGGAAGACGGATAGAGTGCAGGGTGTGTTTCTTTTCTTTTCTTTTCTTTTTATAAGACTGGAAGATTGATGGAGTTCCATTTTTTATCACCAAGCTTTAGTTTTGTACAGGTGTTTATAGGCTGATTTCAGGATTAATTTCCTTTGGTGATCGTCATTTTACTTTCATTTGAAAATTTTGTTTTCTCCCTCCAGAACACTTATGTGATCCTTTCCTTCTCATAGCTTACTGAAATAATAATAATAATAATAATAATAATAATATTATTATTATAATTATTATTTTATAGACCATTTTATGAGCTTCAAAAATTCAAACGCACATGACAACATGAATCTTTTTAGTATTTTGTATGAACTAAAGTATGGACCAAACATCTTCTTCAACCACCACTCAACTTCTAGGCAGTCAAAGAGCCCAATATTTCATTCTTTTAAATGCACTTAGATGCTGTATGCCTTGAGTTCTTTTTGCTATCGGGAGTCAAAACATATGTTAGCAACTCTTGATGCTTTTGTGGGCGATCTGTAGAAGATGTTATATGTTTCGTTCTGAGTTTTTCCTCTTTTTCCTCCCTGTTGGTGTCAAAATCTCTATATTGGTAAAATTGGTTATTCACTGCTTATTGAGCAGGTATCTGAACTTGATTAGCCTGCCAACCGTGCATTTAGAGCTTATTGTTGATACATTATTTCTATTCTCTTGCATTGCAGAACTTTGGTTTTGATGGGAAGTTGGTGGTTAATTATGCATGCTCCATGGCGTGGGGCTGAGAACTCTTGGTTGTTCGCACTACATTGTTTCAAATCACCATACCTAGTAACTACATTTAGTAGAGCAATAGAACCGTGGCATCAAATATAAGTCAGATTGTTCTCCAGTAGATTGTTCAGTATTGAGCTACGGTATGTAGAATGATGCTTGACAATTCTGCTTCAGTAGTTCTTTGATAGACTATTCTGTCTATACTCAGGCAGGAAACATTTCGGGCTTTTGCTGTCCCTTTTCTTCTACCATCCCCTGAAGCTTAGAGTTGAATGTCTGCCATATTGGTGTGAAAAGTTTACGCGTCCTTTCTTCTCTCACCATAGTGACTCTTTAAGTTCTGTAAAGTTAGCAATCCTCCTATTCATTTGTATATAAAATTCTAATTGTTACTAACTTGCTTCTCTATTTAGGGGTTCGACTGCCCGTCCAGGTTTGCACCCTCCCCAGAAGGTTTTTACGTATTATCGGTGTCTTTTAAGAAAACAAGCTACAGTTTATGATGGAGAGAATGCTTAAAACAAGGACCATATGTCTTCTGCTGTACTTGCTTATTGAGTTGAATGAACTGAGTACTGACTAGTATCATGCTCTTACTAGCTTCTGCAAAAATTTAAATGACGCGAATCAGATGGTTACTTTGGAGGGTGAAATATTGAAGAGTGATAGCATAGAGTAGGGGTGTGCAAAGAAAATCGATAAACCGCACCAAACCGATAATTCGAGTCAAACCGGAAAAAAAAATCCGATTGTGGTTTGGTATTGAAAAAAAAAAATCCGACCATAATTGGTTTGGTAATAAAAAAAGTCAAACCGAAACCAAACCAACCCGATAGTACATTTATACAATTTTTAAAAATATGTTATACATATAATTATAAATTGTAATATAATTTGTAAATATTTCTTATACATTTTCACTATTTTATCTTTTAACGTATTATTTCAAGTTGGATTTAACATTCTTGAATGTTAAATAAATTTTATAGCCTATAAATATAGTAACTAAAATAAAGTTCAAGTCAATATTAATGCTAACAAAAAAAAATTAATTCAACACTAGGAATGACGATAGTGTTGGATATCTATTTTTTAGTTTGATAGTGGTCTATAATGAAAATGCATAACTTAGTTTATCTTTTGCTTTAGTATTTAGTTATGTAATTAATAGTACTTATTAGTTATACTTATTTTAGCATGACATGTATAGTATTTTTAGATTATGTTAATTTTCAATATGGCTTATTAATTAGCAATATTTGCTTTATGTAATTTCATTATCTTTGTTATTGAATATTTTAGTGTAATGCAATGACTTATCTCATATTATTGTGTTATTTTCTGGGAAAATACATTATATATTTGTCTTACTTGGACTAAAGAAATATTTGGAGCACAAGTTACATATTTTGTGCTATGAAGACTTTACAGGGAAAAACCCCCAAAACCCGGAAAAAACTGAAAAATTCGAGAAAAACCAAGATTGAAAAATTCGATTTTGTTGGTTTTGTTTGGTTTATAGATTTAAGAACCTGACACCATCGGTTTGGTTTGATAATTGAAAAAATCGAACCAACCAGATCTATGTACACCCCTAATACAACTTAATAATAACAAGCGACATAAGTCCAAAAGTCCGTTCGATCAATAAATGGCAGAGTGACACGGTGCACTTCGCTCCCGCTATGCGCGGGGCCCGGGAAGTAGCGGACCATAAGAGTTTTGTTATACATAACCTTATCCTATATTTTTACAAGAGGCTGTTTTTACGGCTCGAATCCATGACCTCCTGGTTATATGGCAGTAACTTTACCCATTTGTGCAAGAGGCTGTTTCTATCATATCTTGCATTTGAATGATTTCCTTGCCCAAGAATACTTGTGAATTGCTCGCTCATTGCTAGATAAAGCTACCATTTTACACCAATCAAACAAAGCTAAAATAATCAGGCCTATTAAATTAGAATACCGTTTTAATTTGACATCCTTTTGGAATGCTGTGGCTATTACAATTGCTCTTTCTTCCTCGTTGAAAGAAATTTTCTTGTTAAGTGTACTGCCCCTTAAAAAATAAAAAAGAAAGAAGAAAATATTGTACTCTTGCTCTTTCAACAACCTCTCTTTTTTGTGCGATTTTAAGGAACAATTTTGAGAATGGCACACTATAAGAATTTAATAGGGAACATTTAACTTTAAAATTTTAACATTTGCAAGGAAATAAATAAAAACACACCACTCCGTTATGCTTTGCTGCTATTTGTACTACTATTATTCGTATGTTTATTCGTGTTTTTAAATACAAGTTATGGAAGGGAATCAATTCTCTGAATGGATGGATAAAAGGATTCATTTTGTCACATTGTAACTATTTTGAGATTGACACAGAAGTATGTGAAATTACGTCAATAGATAGAGCATACTAGACTGAATGTATGCAACCAATAAATCTCTTCCCTATTTCTGAGAATTTGGGGAAGAAAATAGGGACAATCACTCAGAATCTATTAGCATTCATTACACAAAGTGAATTTGGAAGGGGAGTCTTGGTGTAACTGGTAAAGTTGCTGCCATGTGACCAAAAGGCCACGGGTTCAAGTCGTGGATACGGCCTCTTGCAGAAATGCAAGGTAAGGTTGCGTATGATAGACCCTTGCGGTCCGGCCCTTTCCCGGACCCTGCGCATAGCAGGAGCTTAGTGAATCAGGCTGCCCTTTTACACTGAGTGAATTTGGCAGTTCCCTAGTTGGAATGAAGAGCAGAACAACAGATTCAATAATGAGGCACTAGTTGCATTATTTTTCCCTGTTGAAAGCCTTGGATGAAGGGCAGTTGCTGCAGTCCACAAATCCCTTTCTCACTTTCTCCAACCATGTGCCCTTAGGACCACTTAACTACTCTCTTCTAAACATGCAAGTTTCTGCAATTGTAATTCATTAACATTTTGTGCCATCTTAGCTTAGCAAGTTATGTGGAAATATTTTTGAAACAAGAACAAAAATGAAGTGAACACTGAACCTACTCTAGATTAAAGTAGAACCACATTCTTTTTCTTTCTATACCATTTGGATTGCGATCAGAGAAAACTTCAGTATATAATAGTTGTTTACCCTGATTTTCTTACCATATTTGTGTTTTTCCTTTTCCTCAAACAAAGAGCAATAAACCTATCATGATTGAAAATCTTTCATATTTTGGATTCTTTTTGGGAGGAAAGGTTACGAATTCCTACAAATTGAAGCTCTTTTCTTCTCACTTGGCAGCATGCGCAACATATATTTTGAAGCTAGAGAGTTCAGCTTGGGGAGAAGATTTGCGAGACACGAGTGTTAGTTTTTAAGAGTGAACTCTGTGAGGTTATTCTCCCGATATTATTTTATTCTTTTACATAGTGGATAACTCATTTTCACTAATGTAAGTAGCTCAATTGACCAAAAAGTGTGTCTCTAGTATATTTCTCTTTTTCCGGTTCGCGTTATTGTTATATAGAGTTTGCTTTATTAACATCCGCATGACACTTGATTATTTTGATCCTAACATATATTAAACGAAATAAATATCGTTTTATCAATCCGCCAAGACATAGATTCTAATTTAGTCTTCAGCTCCTGTCAAAAATAGAAACCAAGATATCCCAATATAATACCTCCACAGATCAATAAATGTATCTTGTTCTATCTGCTTTGTGGTCTATTCACCTTTTCAATAGACAACTTTCATGATAGGCCATATCACACAACTTGTGGTTATCATTTCCTATCTAAAATCAAGTGGCACCTTCCTCTGTAATGTCCAAAATTTTCAGTCACTCACTCACTTAAAAAGAGCAGCACCGTGTACTAAGCTTCCGCTATGCGCGAGGTCCGGGGAAGAGCCGGACCACAAGAGTCTATTGTACGTAGTATTTCTGCAAGAAGTTGTTTCCACAGCTCGAACCCGTGACCTCCTGGTCACATTGCAACAACTTTACCAGTTACGCCAAGGCTCCCCTTCAGTTACTCACTCGACTCCCTATATATATACTATTCCAAGAAGTTTTAATAAGCTTCCACTATGCGCGAGATCCGGGAAAGGGCCGGACCACAAGGGTCTATTGTACACAGCCTTACACTGCATTTCTGCAAGAGGCTATTTCCAGGGTTCGAAGCCGTGACCTACTGGTCACATGACAATAATTCTACCAGTTACGCCAAGGCTCCCCTACAGTAACTCACTCACTTGACTCCCTATATATACACTTTTCCAAGAAGTTTTGATAACAGATTTCACATACAACTCATTCCTTGCCAGTGAAAATGTTCAAACTTCTCTTTCTTTTTGCTGTCCTGATATCAAGCAGCAATGCTGCTGTACAAGATTTTTGTGTAGCAGACTTAAAAGGACCAGAATCCCCTGCAGGCTATTCTTGCAAAAATGCTACAAAAGTCACAGTAAACGATTTCGTTTTCTCTGGCCTAAGTGCAGCAGGAAACACCTCAAATATAATCAAAGCATCAGTAACGCCAGCATTTGCAGCTCAATTCCCTGGCCTAAACGGGCTCGGTCTCTCTGCCGCACGTCTCGACTTAGCCCCTGGTGGTGTAGTGCCATTTCACACTCGCCCTGGTGCTTCTGAAGTCTTGCTCGTCGTTCAGGGATCGATTACTGCGGCTTTTGTTTCCTCAGCAAATACTGTTTACTTAAAGACGCTAAAGAAAGGTGAACTAATGGTATTTCCACAAGGTTTGTTGCATTTTCAAGTGAATGCAGCTGGTTATACTTCTGTAGCTTATGTGTTCTTTAGCAGTTCCAGTCCTGGCCTTCAAATCACTGATTTCGCGTTGTTTGCCAACGATTTGTCTACTAAGTTGGTTGAGGCTACGACATTTGTTGATGAAGCTCAAATCAAGAAGCTTAAGGGTGTTCTTGGAGGCACTGGCTAATACTTAATTTTGCCTGTTAAATTGATCTAGCTAACAATGTGCTAGCATGTAATGTGTTAGTTATTTCTTTTTATTCAAAGTTGTCATTTTTGCTTCTTTGTTTTGGCAAGCCTTGGCAACTAATAATTGTCTTTCGATGATTCTTTCTCTCAATGCCATGTTATTGTGAGCTTAATTAGTCCTTTCTTTTTTCAGCTATGGATTTTAACTTCAGTAATGGCTGTCTAATTAAGTCATAGGAGTACTATGTATGTACATCAGTAGTAGAAGGTGTTGTTCTTTTCTAGTTTCCTTAAGAAAGGATTCTATGCATATTTCATGAAATAATTAAGTTATATGCACCTCACAACATAAAAAGTATTTATACAATCAAGTAGGGCTGGCAATTTAAGTGCAAACGTATTCAACCCGTCCAACCGCCCAAGGTTGGGTCGCTCATGGAACCGCCCATTGTTGAACTTAGCCCATTTGAGCACAGCTAAAGTTGGACTGATTTTAGCTCAAATTTATCCATGAACAACTTTGCTAAAATGTCTTTAAAATAATTCTTTTTTTGTTTGATATGTTTTATATGACTATAACAAAGATAAAAAGTCTTATTTTGTTATTAAACAATTTATAAGAAAAAACACACATTAATTAACGCTTGGTAAGAGTTGGGCTATGACTCAAATTTTAGTCCATCTTGGCTCAGCCCATCTCAACCCATGTAACTTTTGGAGCGTCATTGACCCGACCATTTATTGACTCAGCCCATTTTAACCCATCCAAGTCAAGCCAAACCCTCCTATTTGACATCTCTGCAATATTCAAGTCCTGTATAAAAGTAATTACAAGTAATTCTTTATAAATATAACTATAGGTTATAGTGTAAAAAATTCTCACACAAGTGTAAACAATCACATGATTATTTATGCGTTTGGTTGAATTGACATCTCGTTTGCTATACTGGACGAAAGCAAGAGAAAATTAAACAGGAAATTTCCTTCCTTTTGTTCAGTTTATGGTGGAGAGAAACTAGAAGTGATGTAGCAGAAGCTAACTATTGAGGAGAAGAGTGACATATGACAGTCACACGAGTTAGTATAGTTAGCTGAAGTTTAATTATAACTAATTACATGATTGGTGGTTAGAGTAAATAGTGGTGAACGATTAGTACAACTGTCATATACAATGTATATAAGTAGGACTTGTGTGTTTTGTATTCAGTTTTCATAGTGGAATATACAATCATTTTCAGCTCACATGCTCTCCAACGAGTTCTTCATTCTAGAACCTTCTTGTTCATCTTCTTCTTAGCTCCAGTTGATCTGATCTTTAAGCTTCATCATGGTATCAGAGCCCAAGGGCTAAATACACGATCGTTGTGGTGGATATCTTCTGGTTTCTGCAGAATCATTTTGTTGCTGATTGTTCGAGTTTTCCCTCAATCAGTTAACCTAGTTTCTGTTTTGTTATCTGCGATTTGCGAATCTATAATTCCTTGAATCTGAAAGTAAAATCAGCTGAATCTGTTGACAATGACGAATGGAGAAGAAACCTCAACTGGAACAAGCACAGCAATGAACACAGATCATCATCATCCATTGTATTTACAGCCATGTGATACTCCAAGTAGTTTCTTGATCTCTATTCAACTAACTGGATCTGAAAACTATGCATTGTGGAGTAGATCTATGAAAATAGGTCTAATTGGTAAGAGTAAGCTAGGATTTGTTAATGGACGATGTATTAAGGATAAGTTTGATCGATCCTTGCATGAGCTTTGGGAGAAGTGTAATGCAATAGTTCTATCATGGATTATGAATGCTGTGAGCACAGAATTACTTATTGGAATTATCTACAAATCTAGTGCACACAAAGTCTGGACTGATCTGAAGGATAAGTATGATAAGGTAGATGGATCTCGCATCTTCTTCCTGCACAAGGAAATTACAACTTTATCGAAGGGAATTTCATCAGTTTCTGCATATTTCTCCAAATTGACAGACCTCTGGGAGGAATATGATGCCTTGATGCCCTGCCCTGGGTATAACTGCCCAGAATCTAAGAGTTATTTTGAACATTTTGAGTATCAAAGGCTGCTGCAGTTCCTTATGGGGCTAAATGAAACATATAGCCAACCTAGGAGTCAGATATTGATGATGAGCCCTGTTGCTACAGTTAACAAAGCATACTCCATGATAGTTTCTGAAGAAAGCCAAAGAGCTTTGGGAAAGTTCTTTCAGTCTATAGACATTGGAGATGGAACAACACTACTCACCAACAAAGGCATGAATTCAGGGAACAATTATAAGCCTAGAAGAGGAAATCTATTATGTGATTACTGCAACTATAAAGGACACACAAGAGACACTTGCTTTAAGCTGCATGGTTATTTAGCTGAAATTCAAAATGAGGAAGAAGACAACAGGTTTTCTTCAAAGACCTATAGCCAATGCAACCATGCATGAGGAAAAACAATCAATGACAAAGCAGATGACTAATACAACTACACAGGAGGCACAACAAGTGATCAACACATCTGCTACAAATATAGCACAAGGAGGAAGGCCAATCATGTTTACTCAAGAGCAATATGACCAAATATTGAAGTTGATCAGTACAGGTGAAAATGCAAGCTTTGCAGGTACATCTAAGATCTTTGTTACAAATGAAAAGGTTAAAGATGAGAATTGGATAGTAGACTCCGGTGCAACCAACCACATGGTTCACACCAGAGAGCTACTTGACAAGATAAATACAGATATCCTAGGCAATGCACCAAAGGTATATTTACTTGATGGAACTTCACTTGATGTTGAATGTACTGGAGAGAGTAGAATTGATGAAAACAGTACTGTTAAGAATGTTTTGTATGTTCCAAATTTTAAATATAATCTCTTGTTTGTGTCCAAGCTCACAAGGGATTTAAGATGTTTTATATCCTTTTATCCCGACTTTTGGATAATGCAGGACCTTCACAGTGGGAAGGTGAATGGGATTAGTAAGGAACTAGAAGGTTTGTACAACTTGTAGCATCAGAAACTTGAAGCCAAGGCTGCAAATGTACATCTTCAGAAATCAACTATGCAGGAGGAGGACTTAAAGGTGTGGCATGGAAGACTTGGACATGCTCCAAATAGAGTAGTGAGACAAATTCCAAACATGAAGTTCAAAACTAGTAGTGATGAAATAAAGGAATGCACAATCTGTCCTTTGGCTAGACAAGGCAGATTGCCATTCCCTAAGAGTACAAGTAGATCAGATAAACCATTTCAATTGATTCATGTGGATGTCTGGGGTCCATATAGAGTACAAACTCATAGTGGACATAGATTTTTCCTTACTATAGTAGATGATTGCAACAGAATGACATAGATTTACTTACTAAGGCTCAAGAGTGATGTGGTTGTATGTTTGAGACAATTTTTAGCCTTAATAAAGACTCAATTTGCTGTGACTGTGAAAGTAATAAGAAGTGACAATGGATCTGAGTTTTTCAATTCTGAATGCCACAGTTTGTTTCAATCTTATGGAATGATTCACCAGAGTTCATGTGTTCATACCCCATAACAAAATGGGGTAGTGAAGAGGAAACAAAGACACATACTGGAAGTGGCCAGGGCCACTAGATTGCAAGGCTATTTGCCTCTCAAATTTTAGGGGGAATATGTGCAGGCAACCATTTATGTCATAAACAGGTTTCCTCTATCAGTGTTGTTAGGAAAATTATCTTTTGAGATGTTGCATGGAAGAGTGCCATCTTTAAAGCACCTGAGAACCATAAGGTGTCTATACTTTGCTAAGGTTGTGGGAGGAAAGGATAAGTTTGCAGCTAGATTAGTTGGAACTATGTTGATGGGATATTCATTATCCCAGAAGGGATACACACTGTATAATAGTTTAACTAACTCTTTCTTTGTAAGCAGGGATGTCAAGTTTATGGAGCATGTCTTTCCATTTCAACTACTTAAGGAAGGAAAATTGCAGCTCTTCCCTAATGGTGTACTGCACTATCCAGTCACTACTGATGTTATTCCTGCACAAATCAACACATATGATGATAATGCATCCTTTTCAGCAATGCCACCTGTTGCAGACAACCACACTGCTAATACACAACCTTCATCACCACTTCCCTTATTCTCAGAAGACACTCCATCTCAGCAATCACCTCTTTCAGAACACGATACACATGTTCCTGTGGGTCCCTCATTAAGGAAGTCAGCTAGGATTACTAAGAAGCATGTGTGGCTACAAGATTATGTCTGCAATGGTTCCTTGACAAGGTTTGAAGGGCAGCAGCTTTGCAAATACCCAATGCATAACTATTTGACTCATGCAGGTTTTTCAGTCAAGCATCAATATTTGTCCAAAATTACCGGCATTAGAGAGCCTTTGACTTATGAGGGGGCTGCATCAGACCCCAAATGGCTTGATGCTATGCATCAGGAGTTGAATGCACTCAAGGGCAACAGGACCTGGACTATGTAGATTTTCCAGCAGGGAAGACTCTTATTGGGTGCAAATGGGTGTTCAAGATAAAGTATAAGGCCAATGGAGAGGTTGAAAGGTACAAGGCATGACTAGTAGCTAAGGGTTACAATCAAATAGAAGGCCTAGACTATCAGGAAACTTTCTCCCCTGTAGTCAAGATAGTGATAGTCAGGAGCCAACAACTGGAATTTGCATCAAATGGACGTTTATAATGCATTTCTCCAAGGAGACCTCACTGAAGAAGTATATATGTGTCCACCTCAGGGATTTCTCAGCCAGGGGGAGAAGGTGTGTAGGTTGCATAAATCCCTATATGGGTTAAAACATCCTTCAAGGCAATGAAACTTCAAATTAACTGAGGCATTACTAAATTTTGGTTTCGTACAGAGTCACTTTGACTATTCCTTGTTCACAAAGAAGCAAGGAACAAGATTAGTCATAATTTTGGTATATGTAGATGATCTCCTCATAACTGGAAATAATCAAGCATTGATTTCTGAGGCAAAGACCATGCTACAGGGTAATTTCAGGATCAAGGACCTAGGAGAGTTGAAGTTCTTCCTTGGGATCGAGTTAGCAAGGTCCAAGGAAGGAATATTGATGAACCAAAGAAAATTTACAATAGAGTTAATCACTAACCTTGGATTGGCAGGCTCAAAACCTGTGACTACACCAATGGAATGCAACCAAAGATTTACTACTATGGAATATGATCAACACTTGAACTTGAAAGAAGATGAAAAGCTGGTAGACTCAGGGCCATATCAGAGATTAGTGGGAAAGTTGTTGTATCTTACTATGACTAGGCCAGATATATGCTATGCAGTCCATGTATTAAGCCAGTTCATGTATTGTCCTAAGAAGTCTCACATGGAAGCTACTATAAGGGTTGTGAGATATATCAAAGGAGCACCAGGCTTGAGGTTGCTGATAAGTTCCAAACAGTCCTCTAAGTTGACAGCATTTTGTGATGCTGATTGGGCATCATGTCCTGTTTCTAGGAGATCAGTAACAGGATATGTGATGAAATTGGAAAATTCTTTAGTGTCATGGAAATCCAAGAAACAGGGCACAATCTCAAGAAGCTCTGCAGAGGCAGAGTACAGGAGCATGGCAGCATGAGTTGCAGAAATATCATGGTTGATAGGACTTTGCAAAGAGTTGGGTGCTGAAGTTGAGCTGCCAGTGGAGTTACAGTGTGATAGCAAAGCAGCAATTCAAATTGCTGCAAACCTCATATTTCACGAGCGTACAAAGCACATAGAGATAGACTCACACTTCGTCAGAGAGAGGATTTAACAAAGGATAATCAAAACCAAGTATGTGATGTCTAAAGACCAAGAAGCAGATTTGTTCACAAAGGCACTTGGAAGATCACAACATAAGTACTTGATGAGCAAGCTAGGAGTGCTCAACTTATTTGCACCACCTATCTTGAGGGGGAGTATTGAGGAGAAGAGTGACATATGACAGTCACGTGAGTTAGTGTAGTTAGCTGAAGGTTAGTTATAACTAATTATATGATTGGTGGTTAGAGTAGTTAGTGGTGAATGATTAGTACAACTGTCATATACAATGTATATAAGTAGGACTTGTGTGTTTTGTATTTAGTTTTCATAGTGGAATATACAATCATTTTCAGCTCACATGCTCTCCAACGAGTTCTTCATTCTAGAACCTTCTTGTTCAATCTTCTACTTAGCTCCAGTTGATCTGATCATTGAGCTTCATCACTAACAAATCATAGAGGGAATTCAAGAACTTGTCCTTAAATGTTGAGAATTAGATAAATTATAGGACAACGATAATGCATTTCAACAATAATTAAGCATAAACATTAAACTACAACGATTATTTATACAAATAAAAATTACTTCGTACTATAAGCTCTTTGTCCCGTGAAAATTACTCTTTACGACGAAGCTCAAGAAATGATTAAAATTCCGTGTGAAAATTAAACATATCAATACAAGATTGTAATGTCGTCGAATTTCTTTATAACAGTCTTATTTGTTCGGACTTTTTCTTGGTCTGCTATAGCAATTGTAGTTGTTACACATCTAGAACATCATTTGCCTTCTGTTATCTAAATAAATTTTACCTAAAAATTCATTTTTTTCCCCTCAATTTTTTAGATTCTGTTTGGAAAGCCACTTAGGAATTAGACTTGAGTGTAATTACACAATTTGGCATATTTGTTTGGCCAAGTAATTACTTGGTCCTCATGAAATTGGGTGTAATTGGAGGGGTGTATTACACTCTCCAATTCTCAAGGGGAGGTGAGAATTGGTGATAATTACACTGTGTAATTCCAAGGTTACTTTTTAATTTCTTTGATTTTGTTTTTATTTTAATTTATTTTCTTTATAACTTTTTATTTCTATTTTTGAAAATTTTTAAATTTTATTTTTACTTTTTTTTTTTTGAAATTTTAAAATATATTTTTCTTTGTACATTATTTATCTTTTATTTCTCCACATTTACTTCTTGTGATTCCATGTAATTGCTTATATTTTATTTTTAATTATTTTATTTTTTGAAACTACACCTCCTAATATTAGAAATAATGAGTCATTAACAAACTTGGTATATAGTGAGTGATGCAATTAAAGTGAAATTTCGTTATTGAATGTGGTGATAAACTTATTATGTTTCTTAACTTAAGTTGTAGTGGAACTTACTATTATTGTGTTAGAATTTAACATATGTTAAACTATTATTTTTTTAGATTTTAAAATTGTGTTATATTCATGGTTCCAATTTACTTGTTTTAGTAGTATTGACTCATATTGCATGATGTTCATTTTTTAGTTAGAATTAATAGATTAATTTTGTCAAATATTTGAATAATGTTATAGCATTATATTTATAAATATTAATTAATTATATCAAACATGAATTCCATGATGCGTTTTTGTAAGTATCTAAACTAAATATTATTAATTTGAAAAATATATCTAAGTTATTTTTACAATATTAGTTATAAATATATGATTACTAATTAATGCATATTCACGAAAAAAATATACATTTTAAATACCAAATATAATATCATTTATACTTATAAAAATTTATAGGCATATATTTATTATATTAACTTTTAAGTTGTGATAATTGCTTCATTAAAATTTAATCTAACTGTATAATTTTACTTGTGCAACCAAACAGTAAACTTGTAATTACACTATGACAAACAAACAGGTGGTTGTAATTACATAACTGTATAATTATCAGGATGTGTAATTACTACCCTAGTAATTATTATCCAAGTAATTACACCAATTCCAATTATCTAATGGCTTTCCAAACAGGCCCTTAATGTCCCAAGTTTAAAGTTCACAAGAGTTTTAATTTCTCTGAGTTCAAGTTTACGCGAGTTTTTGGCTCTTCAGATTCCTCTTTCAAACTTATAAATTTTCTTAAAATTATGTCTCGAACAGATATATACTATTAATAGATTATTTTTTGGTCATCTTATGATAATAAATATATTGATATTTGGGAAGAGGCTGTTATGAAGAGATAATTTTACAAAGAGTGTACCATTATCATTATAACTGTTGCGATAAGATAAAAGCCCATTGTAGATAGATAAAACATAACTAAAAAAAAAGGCAGCCCGATGCACTAAGCTTCCGCTATGCGCAGGGTCCGGAGAATGATCGGGTCACAAGGGTCTATTGTACGCAGTCTTATTCTGTATTTCTGCAAGAGGATGTTTCTACAACTAGATAAAATATAGCTTAAAAAATTAATTTTAAAAAAACTTATTTGTTATTATGAACTGTTATTATAAAGAAATCTGGCAATATATTTATTTTTAAAGATAACTACGGAGAAAGATAAAGCATTATCAAAAGAATACTTTAAGAGTTTAAGTTATATACACCTCAATGTAATAAATTGTTATGTCATCAAATTATCTTTACGTGTTGTAGCAAGTAACTTATCTAATTTTTAATATTACAAATCCTACACTTTAATTATGAAAGTTTATAATATCTTGAGTGACCTATTATACTATAACTACACCCTAATAAATAAGTATGACCTTTGAACAGATGGTGAAGCTCCTAAGATACTGCCAAAGTTATCAATTTATCTGTGGTTGAGAGATCTATATGCCTATCATTTTAAACACGTGGCTGTTCCTTTCTCTCCTTTCTTTTTCTTTGTTATATTTTTCAGAAATCTCTGTGTTATTTTATAACAATGATTGATGGCCCTAAAATCGAATTGATGTAGAGACTAGGTAAGTAGTAATAATTTTGTTATCTCATTGTTTCGAGCTCCTTTGGAGAAGGGTAGATAATTATTCATGAATAAAAAGAAAGGAAAACAAGAAGAGGAACCCTTTATAAGACTGGAACTTAGAACTTGCATCACTGATACAGGAAGAAATTGCAATCATGAATTATATTTTTATAGGACCAAGAACAATTACAGGTTATAGATGGACGAGTTGTGTCAAACTCAAGTAGGTTAAAGCGGTCATGACTAAATTCGTCCGAAGTTTATTTGGGCAAAACAAATTAGGTTAAGTTGGATCAACTAACGGGACATAATATAACACGTCGAACATGACCCAAGCTGCCCTTTTTTATTTGCTCTTTGAAGAAAAAAAAAGTGAACCAAGGTATTTTTCTTAAATTATTAGCTCAAATTCTTTCATATTTACATAATTTTCAATCTTCAAATTTCATTTTAGATGTTTGGTTATGAGTTTTATTTTGACCCCTTGAGTTATAATACATCATTATATTTTTATAGGACCAAGAATAATCTTGAACTATATAATTCTATAGGACCAAAAACAATTAGAGGTGGTAAATAAACGAGTCGCGTCGAACTCAAGTACGTTAAAGGATCAAATTACCAAAACAAGTCATGACTAAATTCGCTCGAAGTTTACTTGAACAAAACAAATTGGGAAAAGATGAGTCATCTTAGGGGTATATAAACCGTCTTACATGATCCAATCTGCCCTTCTTTTTTATTTTCTCTTAAAAGAAAAAAAAACTGTGAAGTCGTGCATTTTTTTAAAAATTATTAGTTTAAGTTCTTCCATATTTACATAATTTTTTATTTTCAAATTTTATTTTGTATGTTTGGGTTGCATTTTTGACTCGTTGAATTACAGCTGACCAATATACTCCTCCCAAAGCAGATACAAAGAAACCCCAATTTAAAAAAAAAAAAATGATTCAGAAGCTGCTTTCTTGATTGATTTAATTGGAAGAAGACAATAAGCAAAGACAACTATTCTCTCCTTTGTCCCCACAAATTTTGATTCATCGTTTTTGCACGTATATTATTATTGTTATTATTATCCATGGATTATTTTACATGGTTATGGCTGATATAAGCATCTTTCTTGGACATCCTTTGCAAAGGACAAAATCTCATTGTACTAGTACATGAATACCTCTTAAGGAGATAAAATAAATAAATAAATAGAAATGCTTTTTTTCTTTTGAGATGAGATGAGATGATTTAAATAAATAGAGTTTAAAGCTTTAAGGTGAGATGATTTAAACTATTTAATATGGTATCAAATCACATAAAGATCTGGACATGAGTATTGTTGGGTTTTAAAAAAAAAGGTGTGAACGGAAAATAGAGGGAAATAAATTTTTTGAATTAGTTCCTTTTTACAAATGAACTTTGTCCCTCATTGGATGTGAAAAGGAAGATTATGTAACAAGTCTTCTAGTTCTTAAAGAGTTGAAAAGATAACAAGTCTCGTGTCGTCGGACTTGTTCGTTATTTGATAGGAAGAAGCAAATTATTGTGCTTATATATAGAAGTACTTCTTCTAACTCTTAAAGAGTTGAGAAGAGAGCAAGCATCGCGTCGACATCGCTCGGCTTCGACTTTGGTCTTCTCCGTTATTTATCTTTCTTTTTCTGATCGAAGTTTCAATTTAAAATTCGCAAAACTTGTGGGATCGAAATTATTTTTTCAATTCTCTATTTTTCTAACTTTCTATTTTCTCATTTCCTGTTTATGAACACAATTTACTAACACGTCTTACTATCATTCTTGATGTTGGCCCAAGTGAAGGTTTGTTTTGAAAATTGACAAAGGAAGCTCAGGCATGAACCAGGTCCATCCTTTGTGTG